CGTGGGTGCCTGAAGACCTTTGACTTTTGGGCCTACGTGTATATATATGTCATAAACATACTACATACGCTTATTACTAGATTAAGTAATGAACACACAGCAGCAGCAACGGTTTTGTCGGGTCCCATAAGCAACTACATTTAGGTTTGATTCCTATTTCTCTGAGAAACCTCCAATGAAAATCAAATTTAGTAAATGAGGGGATGATTTGGGTGGGTATTTTCCATCTCAGCCCTCACTGAGATACATTTCCTCAGGCTGATCTCAGAGCTGCTGTTTTTCAGAGAAGATACGAGGCACAGTCTCGGCTTCTTACTGTCATTAAATGTCACACAACAGTATCTGCAAGGGAAGAGGTGTCCTCACTCCTTACTACAAAGCCAGCAATTATATTTTCTAAGTACAAATGGACCATGGATGAGTTGATAAGCAGCTGTCCTGCCTCAGCACAAGACAGGTCAGTATTTTGGGCACAAACTCCTCTGCAGTGGCTCGATACACACTTTGCAAGGCTGCTTTGCATTCCCATACACTGGGGAAAACACAGAGTCCTGTTCTAAAGCATGAGACAAGGATGTTGAGTCCCGCACGGCAGGGGGGAAAGGAAAGATGGCCATGGCTGAGAGATGCTGAGACTCAAAACAAGGAGCCACCAGTGGAGGGGAATACCCCACTTAAACTTTGTTTCCCTCTTTGCTCTGCCAAACTTCTTCAAGTAAATCACACTTTATCTCTCAAATAATTTCTGAAAGCAACACAAATTGTCTATTTTGTCATGTTTTTCTATTTTTAATTGTAATTTATTAAACAAAATATCTTTCCATCTACAGTGAAACAAAACAAAGTTTCCAGTTATTATGTGCTTTTGGTTTCTGTCTCCTCTATAAGTACCTTATTTTCTCCAGTCATTTTCAAGATTTCAGGCTAGGATCACCACAGCCTCTTATACCATTTTATTTTCCTACCATGAAGTTGTTTATGTGTATTGTTTACCCAACAGACATTTCGCTTTCACTTGGTATATTCATTACTAAATAATTCTGTGAGAAGATACAGGCCACTGATTTCTTGCAATTTGCATCCCCATACTCTAAGCTATGTTGAAAGCAAAGCTTTTTGGTCCTCTTGCTTTGGAAGTACATTAATATTTCTATGACCTTTACTAGATGGCAGATGAGAAGCATTAGGAATAAAATAACAAACAAACCAAAGGAAACCAATTTTTTAAAATGCGTATTTCTGAAAGGAGCAAGGGGGTAAAAGAATCTAGTCTAAAAAAATATGAACTTTAGCTAGACTTATGATAATTGTTCTGTTGTAGCCTATTTTTCCATGTCAAAATGTTTCTTTATGATCAATCCATTCGACATAATGCAAAAATGTATTTGAAAGGGTTTAGTACCTACGCATACAAAAATATATAGAAATTATTTAGAGATATTTAGAAAGAAATAGAATAGTTAAGACATGTTTACGTACTGTGTACATTGAAGGGATCATATTAAAAGCATGGTCACTGTGCTAACAACTGCTTTTACACAAAATGACTTCAAATCATGTAACTTCCAAAGCCTGCTGCTTATAAAGAGAAATTCTGCAAAACAAGCTGCAAATATAGTGACTCTTTGGTTGGCATAAATGCTCTGCTTTAGAAGACACTTTCAGAAGCCTTTAGAAGACTGCACAGGGAAAACCAACCAAATTCTACCCAGGAAACCATTTCTCTCACAGCAGCATTGTTTTTCAGTGGTTTTACTACACACCGGAAGCCAACTCTGTTCCTGTTCATCTAGGTGTTGATGCCATAACTCAAAGGAACAGATCCAAAAATGATTTTTAGTGACCTGAAATTCGACTACTTTCTGAACAACGTGTACAGATTAACAACATCTATGATTCAGCAAGACATTTAACAGATGGAAAGCAGAAGTTGTCCCATGAACTAAAGTATTTGTTCACTGGTTTCCAACTGGAGGCAAAACTGAGAATCTTTGATAGCAGCCCTCTTTCATATACTTTATATCACATGCCACAGTATCAAGAGAAAGAATATTCTAGAGGTTTTTTGTTTCTCTTTAGGATAGCATGGAAGAGTCAGAAAACTTTAAAATAGCAATAACCAGTTCACCATACTGGTGAATCACAAGAATCTAGAAGGGTTCAGATTAAATCAAGTGGTGCTATTTATAGAATATATATGCCATACATATGATGGCAAGAGTCCCCTTCTGTCTTCAGTACCAAGAGCAATGCTATTGCAGCCAGCAGAAACAGGAACAGGCCTTGTATTGAATGTGTCACATACCTACATTTTAATTATTATTTTTGTAAGTTCTTCTGTTTCAATACACAAAAAATTTCCCTTCTTGAGGTTTCAAGGAATACTATCGTAATTTTAGGATCAAAATATAGGTTTGTTAAAATCATAAGGACTTCTTAATGAGAAAAACAGTTTGAAAACATGGGTTTTTTTGTTGTTTTAGTTAGTTTATTTTAGGTGAAATGAGGGACTTTATAGTTTGGATACAACCATTTCCTTTCCATTTGCTCTTTAAACCCACGAGCTTCTTGCTCTTTGTTCAAGTTTTCAGAGAAACTGAAAGTAACTAGAAACTGACTTTAAAAAGTAACTTTCCTCCCCACTGTTTGTTTATTTTATAAATGTTGTCAGCTTGACTGAGCAGTATGGAGAAGTGTAAATCATCCTTATGATTTTTTTTTACAATTTTGATTCTAATACACAGCTTTCACTCATTAGATGTAGAGATTCTGGTTCTTAACCAATCTGTAAAGTCAGAGAAAACTATGCTGAGTTATCCAGCTGAGAACTTGCCCCATTTTAAATGTAGCTCCCATCTCCTTAGATTATTGTGCTTTAATTATGCCGTGTGTAAAATGTTTTTATACATAAAGCATCCAATCTGAACTTACTCAAGCGATGGCATCTGTCTTTGCAGTCAATGTTCTCAGCCCGCTGCTGGTTTAAAATGCAATCAGTTTTCATCTGCTAGCCTGAATGGAATTTAAGTTTCTGTTCAAGATATAGCCTGTGACGCTGCATTGCATTGCACAAAGACAGTTCCTACATTCTTACCCAAAGTCAGATCACACTCTCTGCACTGCAGAGTTGTGGCTCTGAAAGATTTAATTGGAATCCTTCCCAAGCATATAAAAACATAGCCTTTGTAACCAGTAACAAATTTGCAAATATTTTTATATGGTACATAATAATTCAATGGGTCATAACAAGCCAAATTTGCAAAGGAGATTATGTTTTCATTTAAAATATTCACTGACTTGTATACACGTGAAGCTCCAAAATGGATGAGCAGAAAAGGCAAAAGCAGGTTGCATCCTTCCTGTACCTGTACATTTGCTTTAATTTTGCGTGTGTGCACCTAAGTTCTAGTTTAATACATACAGAGAAACTGATTATATAAGAGCATCTGTTTTAAAAAATCAAGTACCAGTGTTTTGTGCCTGATGAAAATACAGAGAGATAAAAATGATATAGTTTTTGTGTTAGGTCAGACATTTCAAGAACTGGAATATTTCTGCTCCACTTTAGGATAAACAATCTTCTACAGTCCTGTTAGGAGAAATGGTGTACCTTAGTGTCAGTGCCTGCCTTGCTTAGCTGTCATCTCCCCTTCCCTGGGGGCTTGTATATCCTGTATGATTGAGATTTGCACAGCAGCATCAGGGCTTTGGCTGCTCAGTTCCCATTATTGTTGCTGAGGATCTAACCCCTTTGTTGAGGGATGTTAGTTCTTTCTGTGGATCTGCTGCTTTCTGGCTCTGTGGTTCATATTCCCCACCTTTCAGTATTTCCAATGAGTCTTCGGTCGGCTCTTGAAAAGGCTTTTCACCATAGGTGCATTTTATAATCCTTCACAGAAAGCCCTTGACTGGATATGGGAAAGCTACTTCTTATAAATGTGTTATATACATATGTACCTCAAAATCCTTCTGGATAAAAACAAGCAGAAGCGGTAACAGAGCAGCAATAGAGATGATTTGGGTAATACAACTCACCAGAGACCTCAGGACAGAAACTTCTGAGCAAGCTGCCAAGCTGTCCAATTTAGAATAAACTGTTTGGACTATTTTGCCCCCTGGAGCACAGTACAGTTCCCTGAACTACAAATTTGTGTTTGGTCTTCTCTTCCTCAGGGATGCAACTTCCTCGCGATGTCTACACTAACACCAGAAAATAAAACGGTGCTGAGACAAAGACTTAAGTACTGGCCCTCCATCTTCCCTATTTAACTGTTTTCAGTTTAAGTATAAGAGACTTTAAGCATGGGTGCAAGACACACAGTTGTAATTAGCCTCCAGACCAGAGGACATAGCCTAGCTCCTCTTACTCACTGCTTACACACAAAGCCAGCACAGGCAAAGATTCAAATTGCACTCTGTGACATTTAACCATCTTTGCAAGGCACGCTGGTGAGAAGGGCTGCTGCTCTGTAATGATTTCTTAGTTAATAATACATTTATATATGTGTGTCTGCATGTATATACATATATACACACAAAATGTTCATGTCATTCTGTGTATATATGTCATTTTGTGTATATGTACACACATATATTTTGTGTATGTATATCCTTTTGTATTATACACACACACACAATGTTTATGTCAATGGACAGAACAGCTACAACATCATTGTCTACCTTAGTTAACAAGGCAATCCAGTACAGAGAGCAAGTTTCAAGCCTTTGACTTGTGACTCGTCTTGTTTTTAATATGGTTTTAACTGACAACACTAGTAAGTCATAAATATGAGAATAATGTAATGAGGACTACCACAAACACCCATTTCTATGTTATTTTATTTTTGTTCCCTATTCAAAGTATCCACACATCTTCACACATTTCCTTCCTCCTCACTGTCAGACACTGAGGCTCTCAGTTACGCAGGTAAAAAGGATTGACACTTTCTAAATTGTAATAGTTTCTCGTTCTCTCTTGTTGAAAGAATCATGAGAGTCACCATTTGAGAAAAAGGTCCCTGGTGATTTTACTGAGTTGAGCTTCTGCATTTTGCTATGTATCTGCAGTCACAAAAAGACAGAGAAAAAAACACTTTTAAAACGTGTTCTCATATTGCTAAACATTCCCTTTTCTTCCCTCTCACTGCATCCTTCATAAACAGTTATGCCCATTGGCCTCAGACTATATTAATAATTTGCAGTATTACATGGTATTAAAATCAGTGCCCTTAAGAACAATATGGTGGCAAATCTTCCCAAGAGTTTTAAATCTTTCTTTCTGAATATATGTAACGTGCTGAAAGACGGATCCCTACAGCAGCTGCAAGAAAGGTATATTCTGCCTCTTGCATCTTTTCAGTCTTTCTTGGACACATACACAGCTGCTTCACAACTAACCTGCACACTGTGGAGAGCTGCCATGAGCACACTGAACACAGGCAAGCATATAAGGCCCTGCGGTGCCTGGAGGGCTAACTCTGGTGATGCTGCAGGTTTGGCTTTCAAGGCTAGAAACAACACGTTGGTGTCACCATGACATGCCTGCAATGCCTCAAGGCATCCTCTGTACCTCAAGGATGCCCAGTCCTCGTGGTACGGAATACTGAGATGGGGATTAGAAAATGTGCTGGGGGCTGTCTGGGAGGGAACAATTTATGCTAGACTTCTGATATTCTTCTAATATTTTACAGGAAGAGGCACTATAAATAATCTAGTACCTACAACCTAGACCCACTGCTGCAAAACACCTAATCAAAAGCAGGGCTGACACAGAAGTGACCACCAACTCTTATGTTCACTCACCCTCCAAACAAAAAATATTTTCTTCTGACCTAAAAATCCCTTTTGAAATCTCCAATGCAACTTGCTGAAAACGTGCAACCCATCTCTAAAATCAAACTAAATCCAGCACTACCTTACAATAACTATGGCAAGGCAAACACATTTCCATACAACTCATGGTACAAATAGATTTGTGTTTTCTGGCTAGCAATCAACAGTTCATTTAAACACAAAACAAAACACAAAACAACACATAAAACATTTCTTCCTATGCCAAAGGTAAACAACGCTGCCAGAATTTAATTGCACTAAAGGACTTTGAAACCTAATTTTCTGACTTCTTGGGATTACCTGGAAATAAAAATACAATAAAAATACAGCAGTAAAGCTTGACATATAAAAATACTACTCATTTTCTAAGATGAAGAAACCATATTTCTTCTGTTCTACATCCTGTACAATGCTGTTGAGTTCAGAATGCTTAAAATAGGTATAAAGGATTTTGCCCCACATACTGTGGAAGCTCCATGCGATAGAAATAGAGTGCAAAAGTGGTTGCATGCTGCCTGGTCTATCTGGTATTGCTGATACTTTTGACAGGAACATTTATTAGACCATGTTAGCAGTAGACAAGAGACTCCCTCTGATACCCATAATTGTCTTCAGGAGACTGGCTGTATATTGTAGACATGTCAAATAAAACAGCTATAAAAACACATGCAATCACTTGCTACTTTCTGAGAAATTATTACAGTTATGTTCTTGAGAATGATGAAAGAGAGGAAGAAAGGGGTCATCATTTTAAATATTGCTGATACTTTTGACAGGAACATTTATTAGACCATGTTAGCAGTAGACAAGAGACTCCCTCTGATACCCATAATTGTCTTCAGGAGACTGGCTGTATATTGTAGACATGTCAAATAAAACAGCTATAAAAACACATGCAATCACTTGCTACTTTCTGAGAAATTATTACAGTTATGTCTTGAGAATGATGAAAGAGAAGAAGAAAGGGGTCACCATTTTAAAAACACTAAGAATGAGATCACATCCTACATGAAAAGCACGTGAAGGTGAATTGGGGTAGTCTGACCCCAAATTCCAGGAATAGCCTCTCTTCTCTTCACCTCTCCATTACAGTCTAGCTTCACCTGTTACCGCTGAAATCAGCAGGACTTTTAACATTTATTTTACAAAGGGAAGGAATCAAATGTTAAACATCTCTCTTTTATGGGCATCGCTAACCCATGTTGGGGGGAGATTCCCAGCATCCCTTTTATAGTCTTGCATAGCAGTTCCATAGAGGGCTACAATCCTCCATCTTAAGTCAGTGAACACTATCTTACTCCACAAGTAGCCCCAGAGAAAATAAACCAGGACTGACACAATTTTGCAACCAGTGGTTCAACCCTCACGGGAATGTACCACTCTGCTCAGAAAAAGGGTGGTAAAACCTGGTCTACAATGCCTGGGCATGATTAAGCTTGCTTGTTGTTTCCTACACACCCTTCTTCAAAAGAGTCAGGGCATTCCGTCCTGGTTCTGGAAAGTCTCCAGTAGCGCAGAATGAGAACCCCGTTCTTGCTATCCACTGAAAACTAAGAAAATTTGTCCACTGTGAACTACACTCACAGTAACACCTGTAGAAAGTCAAAGGAAGTAACAGATGTGTTTTCCTTTCTCAGATCACAGTGACAGCCGCCTGTCTTTTTGCTCTTGCAACCTGGTATCTGTCTAAAGTCTGCCAATGATCTTTGCGAAGGTGCATTTGCCTTTTTATTTGTCTGTGACATTTACAATCCGGTTCGTATTGCGTCAGGCTGCTCGGCTATATTAGCCGCTCTAGCTTTATTAGCCTATAGTGACTCAGGACTCTGTTGCGTCTTTTCTCTCCCTGCCAATGGCAAACTGTGACTACAGGTGACTGCCTATTTTCTAAGTATAACCACAAGAGAAAAAGAGCAGAGGTGAATGGATGGAGGGCAGCAGAAATGGGAGCCAGTGCATTTTGTGCGATGAAACACTTGACAAGGTGAATTCTGTAAAAGCCAGGCAGCTGCTTAAAGCTCCTCGAGACTTTTCTGGATACTTTTCACTGGCAGTGCTGAAAAAGAAGTGTGATGTGTTGTGAACAGAATTCTAAGGCAAATTAGACAGTTTAATGGAAGACGAATTTCTCAGGAAAACATGGCAACTTGCAATAGTGTCACCATGTTCTAGATCATTATGGATAACAAGAAATCAAAATCTAAAGCAAAAAATCGCAAAGGAAAGAGGGGTAACAAATAGTTATTAAGCTATTTCGAAGCTACTGCGAGAAAGGTAGGCTGGTCCTTTGCCAGTGCCAGAAGCTCTTTGTGCTAACAAAAGCAAAATAGTTTTTCAGCTGTTTCCTTTTAAAACCAATAAGAATTAGACACTGAAATACTTATACTGGCCCATAGTTTTAACAAGCATCTTATGGAAGAGCAAGAGAGACTAAAGATTATTAACTCACTTTATGAGGTAGCCACAAAAGTGATGTGGGAGTATAATGATTTCATAGTCACAGGGTCTTGGGCTGCACTGGTGTGGGGCATGGCATGATTTTGCCTCTCACTGCCTTTGAATAAACCCACCCATTTTTAACAACTGGTTTTGTATAGCAAATACCCATTTCACAAGTCTGCCAACACTACTTTGGAAACATACCACCACGTATTTTTCTTTTGGGAATTTTTAACCTTGACACTCATGGGCCTCTTTCAAAACACACATAGAACAATCAATCAAAATAAATAGTCACTTAAGCCATGACTTAGTGACTGTAGCTAAAGAAAAAATTTCTTGGAGTAGAAATAATCCACATTTAGAAATCATGATTCACCTCAGTATTAAGGTACCTTCCCAGCACCTACCTTATGACGTTCCAGAAAAATTCTAAAACCACAAAAGCATTTCAGATTAGCATGATAGTAATGTGATGGTATCCAACCCCAATTGTTCTGTATTTTTTAAGCCAATGGAATGTCATGCTTAACATTTAATTGTTCTTTAACTAAATAAATGCAATTAGGATTTTCCATGTAATCTTTCTGAACAAGCTGAGAAATATACTTCACACCTCCCCATGCATCCATGCAATTATTGATGGGGTTGTTGATGGAAGATTAGAATTTGCCGGGTGGGTTGGTGACCAATGAACCTTGCCAGTGTATCCAGGGATATTTGGAGTGCTAAAGGAAAAAGTTAAAGGGGAGGCAGGGGGTGGAGAAAGAGTAAATTAAATGACTATAGGCTTGAAATATGACTTACAGATCAGTTCTAAAATAGCTAGTGTTTATCGAAGATGGATGGGCTAAAAACTATTCATAATACGAGTACTCCTTAGAATGTATGAACTGGCATACCTTCTTTAAGATCAGTGAAACAACTTTGTGATGATCTAGCTGATGATGTGACCCAAATTCTTTGCTTAGAAGTGGCAAAAGTGAGTTCTTTAGTGACTTTTCTTCCCCCCCCTCCACGTTGTTTAGGTTGAATATCTGTATGATATTCATGATTACAAGCAACATTTAATCTCAAAGAACAAATGGGGTCATGGGATTTCCAAAGAGCACAAAAAGCAAGGAAATATTCTTTAAAAATGTGATACAGATTTAGCTCATATTTAGGTTCCAGCTTCAAACATGGAATTTAGGTAGCAGGTTTTAGGCCAACAAGTGTCATTTCTCATGGCCACAAATGATTTCCTAAATTATTCTGAAATTCTCTAAATATCCCCTAGATTGTATTAAGAATGTATTTACATGTATATGTAGAATTATTAACACTGTTTAGACACATCAACTGAAATTCTAGCTTGAGTGCACCAGTGGACTAGACAGGATGTGCCACATCTTGGAAAACTAAAGCCTTTTGTTAATTCTGATGCTAAGTTTTAATGTGAAACTGAAAAAGAAAGTTCCTTAAAGAGACAGAAAAAAGAATTCTACTTATCTGAGATAGCAGAACAGAAAATTTTGATAACAATTGCTGCAAGATGAAGCAGAAATGGACAAAATTAAAGAAAAAAGAAGATACTAATATGAATTCAGAGACATAATCCATGAAGATTAAAAATAAAACAACCTAACCCCCAATACAACAGCTTTTTTTGCAGCACAAAGTTATTCAGACAGTATCATCAGTGCTGCTTTATATTGACAACACAAAGGACACTGATGAATTATACATCTATCCAGACTGCTCATGCACATGGAGGTAAGAGCTCATGACAAGCTGTTTCATCCACTGAATCAGCTAAATACTTGGGATTGTAAACCTTGCCTGCATTAGTTCTTTGTGGGTCTTTGGACCAGAAGAATGATAACAGTGCCTCCTTTAAAATAATCTCGGAAGTATTTTTTTGTTCCCCTGCACACTGGGTAAAAATAAACAATTCCTTTAATTATAAAATGCATAGAGCTATTAGTTTCAGTACAGCTGATCAGCTACTTCTCTGCAACAAAGTTTAGCACAGGATGCAAAACTGGACATATGTGCAAGACGTGGTTTATCAGAAAATTCTTTGACTTGTGTGCTAGGAAATTTGGCTATGAAATGCCTCACCAGAATAGCAGAGCTAATGACAATATGCTCTATCTACCTACAACAGTTATAACAGAGGACTGTGGGTGAACTAGTCATAGGAGCACTGGTGGTGTATGTTGCAGTCTTCATACGCATTGTTAGCAGAAAGACCACCTAGTTCTTTGTCTTATTTTGGAATAGTCTTGCACTAACCCATACATTCATACACTGCTATATTCCCTGGGCTATGCTCCAGGATGCAACGCTCCAGAGAAGATAGCTTTGTAGAATCATTACACCAGTTTTGTAGCACTTGGGAAGCTGTTACTTACAGGGAGTCACTGAGTAGTTGGCTAAGCAAGTAAAAAATCTGCTCTCTATCTTGATAGCAGCCATGCAGTGGTAACAAATTGGCCTGAAAATATAACATAGCAGTGGATTGTATTTTCAGAATTGGACAAAATATCTTGCAGACAAACTTGCTTTTTTTATGTCAAAGTAGCCAGTTGTCAGGCTATGTGCTGATAAAGTAATTCTGTGTAGAAAATTTAATCTGCATATGCAGGGATCCCACTGAGGGACACAGTGGACATTGGGTGGCTGTGAGTGTAAGCACATGCATTCAGCTAAAACTGAAAATGTGATATTACTTTGAAGGAACAGAGTTTTATTACCCTGTTGATGTGCTACACACCAAGATACATCTCTCACACGTAATAAAGAAATTCCATCGACTTCCTTGAAATTATATGAGTGTTACAGAGAAGAGGAGATGACAGCAAGAAGCCCCATATTAATCTGCAACATTTCATAACACTATTTGGAGTTAGCTCACATAACTGTACAACTGTGGAGATATTCAAATACATTACGCACAGTGAGGCATCTGATTGATAAAATCTTCTGACCTTTAAAACTTGAAAAAGTAGAAGAAAAAAGCATCGTCAATGGCCAAACATTATCCAAAAATCAAGCCTGGGAGATGACCCAGGGTGAAGATTTGCTCTAGACTGTCTGTTAGAAAGGATTGACAGAAGTTGGTATGTTCATAACATGTGGGAAGAAGGTAGCTCTGAAAGAGAAGAGAGATGGGCAGAGAGAAGCTAAAAGTATGACGATAGTAAGAAAGCTTACACTACAATAAAGCAGCTGCTCTCCTGGGAACCTACAAAGAAGATGCAAAAATGTGCTGTGGTTATGTATGTGATAAAGCAGAAGAAACTGAGGTTAAAAAAATACCCCTTTGTTTTTTTGTTTTTGGATCATACTGTCTAGCTCTTGTGTGTTCTATTTAATGAGCTGCTAAACCAGATTGTTGCTGCCAAAGAAAACAACTAAGTGCCAGGCTACCACTGGGCGACATATAAAACTCCACTGTGGTTATGCTGTCGTCATCAAACTTTCTTTTTGTAACCATGACATCTCGCTTGTTCATACACTTCCTTGTTATCATGCTAGCAGCTCTTAGTTCCAACAATAAGAAACATACAGCGTTGACAGTTGAATCGGTGCAAGCTCTAAGATTTTTCAAGTGGACTGTAGTGATTCTGAGTGCCTCTGCTTTGGTGTGCCTCTGTTTCCTATGTCCACCTGGGGATGTCTTTGAAGATTTTTATTTCCCGGTAGTGTTCAGGAAAAACAATGTGGATTCAATTAGTTGCCCACCCATACTGGCATTTAGAGCTATTTGAGATGCCTTAACATATCTGAGATAACCCCTTATAGCACAGGACCCGCACGGGACCCGTATTGTTCTGAAGCAGCAGCTGGAAGCAATCCTCTAGGGTGTCTCCAGGGCATTGGATGCCCAGATTTGCCATGTAAATTCCATGTCAGCTGTTTCTATAGGAGCAAAATCAAGATTCCCTCAAATAATTTGTAATACTTGGAAAACCTTGGATCTAGCACTTCAGCTTGAGGTATCCCAGTTTCTTGTGCAAAATTTCTGTCTATTGAAAGCAATCTGGTAGATTCTTACCTTGCACTTGGAGCAAAGAGTTCCTAACATCTTACTCTTTCTTAGAAAGACTGTCGTATATAAATCACCAGATTAAGTCACTAACTAGCTCTTCTGGTTACCACAATTATAAAACAGACCTCTCAGGTCTCACTCACAGTACATAAGTCTTGCAATTGGCTTCCAGCTCAGATTGCCTTCCAGGAAGACTAACATGTCACATGTTTGTGGCCCTTCTTTTACTCCATGATCCTATTTGCCAAGCAGAATAACCTGTGGTAAAAATGCCTCAGATGTAATCCTATGTCAGGAAACTGAATGCATACACTCTCTTGTGTTGGGAAAAAATATACCTGAGAGAACTTCTGAAGTCAAAACAAGGTGCTCCATGCAGAACGAAGAATGGGACAGACAGGATTTTTGAACAGAGCATTCAGGGTTGCATTTCATACCCTTCTCCCTCAGCCATCAAAGCAGGATAGGGAATGGGTATTTACAAATCGATCTGGGGTTTCTAAAAAGATAAAACCATCAAAATGGTAATTCCCCAGGAATATTTTGAAGTGTGTTGAACTGGAACATATTGTTTCTACAATTTCAAACAGTTTTTTAAATTCTGCTTTCAACTTGTTCAATCCTTCATTTTAGTAGGGGGTAATATAAGCCAGCAATAAAATCTCATTTGGAAAATGTCAAAGTAGGATATTTCAGCATCCCCGACCCTCAACCCCCCGAATGACTCAAACTGGAAAATCACTAAAAAGGCATAGATGGTGGACAAGGTGTCAGTTTCTGAAGAACAGACACATTGTGGGAAAGCTTTTCGGCAGCCCATAAAAATGACTATGCAAGGTGCAAGGCAGCAGAGGGTCCTGTCCCCAGCTAATTGTGGCCTGTGAGGTTTCTGTGGTAACTTGAAATGATAAGGGATGCATGCACACAGTCAGTTGGAAGCTGACTACACTGAAGAAATATGACTGAAGTCACTACAGATATACTGATGTGATAGTAGCATTTTGCCCAATGTGCTTGAGAAAACAAGAATAAAGGGTAGTTTCAGAGAACAGCTTTATGCAAGAACTGCAGGACTTGAAATAGGACTTTGTCTTCTGAGAAACTGTACGTGTCAAGTTCTCATTTCAATCAACTGCTTCCAGAAATGGATTTTGGTCAGATCCTGTCCTCTCTCTGACACAGAAAACTGTGGCCTTGGACAAGTCACTTTGGCCTCCTCAGTCTTCATCTTGCAAAAACTGATACTATAATCTACTTTACGAATGTTACGGCAATTAATGAGTCGATGCTTCAAAAGTACCGCTAAGCAAATAACACTGCGTTAGAACGCCTATGTGTTGGGTAAACACTGCCCTCTATTGAGTATTATGAGAGCTGATGAATTATGAGTTCTAAAATGTTAATGACTGCCAGATTTTTACTTAATTCTGGAGGCAGAGGCTTTTAATGTGGAACAAGAAAACATAATCTCTGTCCTAACTCCTTTTGTCAAATTTCAAGAGGTAATAAGTACCACAGTGAGAAATCAGGCAGTTGCTGTGCTATAATAAAAAAGACACACAAAAAAGGAAAGCACGAGGCAGATATAATACTTGATCGATATGAACTGTTGCTGTGTATGCTGGAATGCACTAAGTTTGCTACACTATTACTACACTAAGTACTGCTAGCTCTCTGAGGGCGTAAGGGAGT